TTAAAAAAAGTGCAAAAAATTTGAAAAAAAAAAAAAAAAGTTTGTTTCTTTTATAAAATTTTTCAAACAGGTATTTTTTCTCCTTCACTGATTTGCGTTGATGAGGCGGCACTGATGGGCACTGATAGGCGGCACTGATGGGCAGCACTAAAGGGCACTGATAGGCAGTACTAATGAGGTGGCACGGCACTGATAGGCAGCACTGATAGGCGGCACTGATAGGTGACACTGATGATGGGTACTGATAGACGGCACTGACTGGCATCACTTCTGGGCACTGACTGGCGGCACTGACTGGCACAACCCCTGGGCACTGACTGGTGGCACTGACTGGCAGCACTGCTGGGCTGCACTGGTGGGTGGCACTGGTGGGCAGCACTGGTGGGTGGGCACAGGTGGGTGGCACTGGTGGGCACAGGTGTGGGTGGCACTGGTGGGCACAGGTGGCGGCACTGCTGGGCACAGGTGGCGGCACTGCTGGGCACAGGTGGGGGCACTGCTGGGCACAGGTGGCGGCACTGCTGGGAACGGGTGGGCGGGGCTAGTGGGCGCACTGCTGGGCGGAACTTGCGGGTGTCACTGCTGGGCACCGATCATCAGGGCACTGATCATCAGTGCCCTTATGATCGGTGCTGATCCCCGCTCTGACAACTGCCGGTTCTCGGCAGTACTTTCCTCACGATCTGACAGCGTGAGGAAAGTGCAGCCGAGAACCGGCACTTGCATTTCCCTGTGATCAGCGTGTCATTGGACACCGCTGATCACGTGGTAAAAGGCCGGTGGGATCGGCCTTTCACCACATCACGTGATCAGCTGTGTCCGTAGGACACAGCGATCATGGAGATCGCCGGGTGCGCGCCCCCTGGGGCGCGCAGGAGAACGCGTTCTGGGAGGACGTCATATGACGTCCACTCAGAACTGGCCGGCCGCGGTGAAGCCGTCATTCGGCTATGCGCGGTCGGCAAGAGGTTAAACTAATACCAATGACTGGACATTATTCCTCCTTCCATGGACTACAAGCACTGTGTCATTTGTTTTTTTTTTTTTTTTTTTTACTCATACTGATGCTGGGGCATTTTCTACTCCTACTGGGCCCTCCTAAAGTCTGAAGGACATAAAGCGGCCCTTTGTTTAGAAAGTCTGGAGACGCCTGCATTAGACAGATGGGGAACACCCGCCTGCATTCGATCTGATACGCTGTTTTTAGCATCAATGACCGTGTGCAGTCTTTTGTAATAGTTGTCTGAGGTCCCGAATTCTTGCAGGTGGTATAGCTGTCCATTCGTCTTGGCCAAATGGCTCCGGGTTATGCAAAGTCTTTGGTCATCTTGCATGAACCGCACATTTGAGATCTCCTTAGAGTGGGTCGATGATATTAAGGTCAGGAGCCTGATGGCCACTCCAGAACCTTCACCTTTTTCTGCTGTAACCACTGGAGGGTTAACTTGGCCTTGTGCTTAGGGTCCTTGACGTGCTGGAAAGTTCAAGAGTGTCCCATGCGCAGCTTTTGTACAGTAGAATGCAAATTGCCTTCCAGTATTTTCTGATACCATACTGCATTCATCTTGCCATCAATTTACATAAGATTTCCTATGCCTTCAGAGCTCACACACCCCCAAAACATCAGTGAGCCAAGCAAATATGATAATAAATGGGTTCATATGATCACTATCCTTTAAATAAAAAAAGACAGTGTTTTTTTGGCATAATCAGTCATATTTCAATATCCATGCAAAAATTTCACAATTTCTGCCAGGGGATGAAAATTTTGGGCACAACTGTATATGCATATGTGAGACTCTAGTGGCACAATAGCTAAAGCATATATTGTAGGTAGAAGAATGGTGGCATACAGTACGCATGCCATGCATACAATGAGTAGATTCATGGTCTATTTAAAGCGGAACTAAAGTCTCATTAGTTAACTGTCCAACGGCCTTCCACTGGCATCTTCTTCTGAGTGCTGGTCTTTTGGCTCTCCTCTGGCCAGCAGGGAATTGCGTCACTGCTGCTTATGCACAGAAGGCTGTCATCCCAGTACTGTAAGCGGAACTACAGATGGCAAGTAGGCAGGTAGGGGCATTTTATTGCAAAAGAGACGGCGCATGTTTATTCTGCAATAAAAGCCTGACTGCTCTGTGTTTTCTACAGTGGGACTTTAGTTCCATTTTAGGTAAACCCCTCCTCACTTTTAGAGCGATTTGGCAACATCCACCATTCGCCTTGGTGCACTTAGGCCCTTTTCACACAGGGGGACTGATTTGGATCTGTGTCAGTTTTTCTCAATGGGGAGGCGGATGTAAATGGACATGTCTGCAGACATTTGAACAGGGGTCACTTCATGTGTTTACTTGTTGCCATGTTTTGTTTTATGATTGTGCCATTCTGTTATGACCTACAGCTGAATGTGAATCCCATAAGAAATAAAAGAAATGTGTTTTGCCTGCTCACTCATGTTTTATTTAAAAATGGTACATCCTGTATATTACCAATTCTCCAAGGGTATGCAAACTTTTCAGCACAACTATACACCTCTGAACAATTCTCTGAAAATCTCATTACATTAGATACACAAAATATTCTCCAGAGCTAACACTTTATCTGAGCCTACCTTAAAGAAGAACTTCATTAAAAATAGTCAGGGACTGCTTAGCAACCAGCAACTGTTGAAAAAATAAACACTTCATTGAAATGTATGTAATTACAGTAGAACCTCTATCCACAGTTGTCACTTCTGCATCTCCCTTCCTCTATTCATAGCAGTCATCTCTGCATACCCCAATCAGTTTTAAAGGCCAATTTCACAAAAAAAAAATAAATAAATAAAATGCACTTTTTGCAGGTGATAGAATGTCATTTTTCTTCTAAGGAACTTGCAGAGCATTGCACCTGTTAGCAGCAGATCGCAGGTGCAATGTCAGGCTCCTACATATGTTCAGTAGTTATCTGCCCATAGCTCCTGTACAGTTAGACCAGCAATGGGCAAACTACGGCCCGCGGGCGTATACGGCCCGGCGGACCTTTTAATCCGGCCCGCGGAGCTAGGCTCCCGCAAGGCCAGTGATCGGCAAGCCGCGGCTCTTTACAAATTTAGATGCGGCTCTCCTGTGTGCCGGGCGCCCGCTCCCCTCCCTGCCCTCCTCTCCTCCTCTCCCCTCCCCTCCTCTCCTCCTCTCCCCTCCCCTCCTCTCCTCTCGGATGGCCGCCCCCCCCCCTCTCGGATGGCCGCCCCCCTCCCTCCTCTCGGACGTCAGGACTCTGCAGCTGTCAGGATGTAGGCGGGGGCAGCGTGACGAACTCCTCTCACAGTCCTCCCTGAAGACCAGAACGGCGCGGGGAATACGAGAGGAACGCGCGGACCAAAGGTAAGTGAATTGACACAGGGGGGGGACTTACTATATGGGGGATGAATTACTATATGGGGGACTTACTATATGGGGAATGAATTACTATATGGAGGACTTACTATATGGGGAATGAATTACTATATGGAGGACTTACTATATGGGGAATGAATTACTATATGGGGGACTTACTATATGGGGAATGAATTACTATATGGAGGACTTACTATATGGGGAATGAATTACTATATGGGGGACTTACTATATGGGGGATGAATTACTATATGGGGGATGAATTACTATATGGGGGATTAATTACTATGGGGGATTAATTACTATGCTTACTATGGGGGAATATATTACTATACTTACTATGGATGACACATACACATCATTCATCTACTCTTGGTCCGGCCCCGGGTCCAATATATGAACCCATTGCGGCCCTCAAGTCAAAAAGTTTGCCCACCCCTGGTTAGACTGTTACTGAAGTGCACGCATTAGTGTCCTTGCAGTTCATTGAGAACTACAAGCTTTATGCTGCAGTGGCACAGGACTTGTAGTCCATTTATGCACAGATTCCTGTGAATGAATGACACGGTTGTGTTTTTTTAAATTATGATAGTGGGTGCAGGGAGAGGAACCCCCACCAGCTGTCAGGGGCAATCAGGGAGTGTAGAAACTGGAGCACAGTAACATGTTACTAAAGGTGAACATAGCCTTTAACCTCTGCATCCTCCTTCCTCCATCCACAGTTGTAACCTCAACATCCTCATTTTCCAATCTATAGTGGTCACCTCTGCACACCTAATCCCCCCCGTCCAATGATCACCTGTTCTTGTATAGCTTACAAATTCACCACTTCACCCCTCTTCTGCACAGTAGCTGTTGACTTTTGTGAACAGAGCACGGAGCATAGTAACCAAACAGATATCTTGATACTGCAGCCAGTCAGGATAGGTCTGACACTGAAAGGACAATATCAGAAGTTCCCAGTTGTCTACAGTCATTAAGATATAGTACTGGTTACACATTTCAGTGAACGAATGATTAAATTGTCTGAACTGTGGGATCATATACAATTCTCTTACAGTGGCTGTTATCCCACCCCTGTCACAATATGTTTATAGACTAGGTCAGCCATCCAGGTTTGACCAATTCTAGTACTGATCCAGAAACTGTATACAATTTCCTGGAAGTTCCCAGGAGTGGCACTGAAGGAATCTGTCTGACAGCAGTGAAACCTGATATGGGCCCTCACCACTCAATTCAAAACAAAAAAAAGTTAGTTACCTAGCAATTCCATTTTCATAAAATTTCCAGGACAGCAGAGAATCCATGTGCAGTCCTGGAAGATGAAATGGGAAGGGAGCTTTGGCTATAGATACACTTTAAACAGCAATAAGGTTTTGGCTATAGTCTAATCCAGACAATAACAGATCCAGGGAGACCTAACTTTAAATTAGTGAATTGCTGGCATGTTCATATGCTGCCAGTGTCCTCGTGTGACATATTGGATTGCAACAACTTCCACATAGTATTACCGGCTTGTGAAGTAAAAAGGACCACAAAGTGTTTATAAATATAAGCCTTTTATGTCAGGAATAAATACATCCTGTTCTACTAAGCTAGTTACAGTATGAACAGTGAGGATCATTATAAAGTCACATCTTCCACCTGCAAATTTCCTTCCAGTGCCGCCTGGTAAATCTCAATAGTCTCAGCCAGGGGCAGTGGTTCCACACTCTCAATAATAGCTATGGGCTCTCCGAGTTCTGTGCACATGATTGTCTGTTGTGGCTGGACCATTAGATTTTGGTGAGTTTTGCGGTGGCTTCGCAAGTTGGAGAGCGTTTTGAAGCTCTTGTTGCAGTCAAGACAGGAGTGAGGTCTGTCATTACTGTGGACATGTCTGTGTTCTGCCAGGTGAAGTGACTGCACAAAGGTCTTGCCACAATCCTTGCAGCAAAACGGTCTTTCCCCTGTATGTAAGCGGCGGTGCTCCCTCAAGTGGGCAGCTTGCCGGAAGTTTTTACCACAATCCAGGCAGGGAAATGGGCGTTCTCCAGTGTGAACACGCTGGTGCAACTGTAAACTGAAAGACGCGACAAATGCTTTTCCGCAAGTGCTGCACTTATGGGGTCGGACCCCGGAATGCCACTGTTGGTGTCGTGTTACGCCTCTCTGGCTGGTGAAACACTTGCCGCAGACATGACACTTAAACGGTCGCTGACCTGTATGGAGTAAGAGATGGAGATTCAAACTGGAACTAGAGTTCAGTTTTTTGTTACACGTGGGACATTTATACTGACACAACTTTTTGCTGCGACAAGTGTGTTCTGCAAGTTTTGATTCTTCCGGAAAAAAAAAACAACCGCGCACTCTTTGCAGTAGATCAGAACTTTGCCTTGGTGCTCTAACTGGTGCAGCTGCATTAATTTCTTGCGTAAAAAGGTCCTACCACAATCGGGGCATTTGTAAGGAAGGATGCCAGTGTGTCTGATCTGGTGCAATGCAAGCTTGGAAGCTCTGTTGAATTCTAATCCACAGATCTTACAAGGGAATGGATTGGAGCCAGTGTGCAGAGCACGATGTTGCTGCAGATTAGAGCTCTGAGTGAAAGAACGGCCACAGAGGTCACATTTGTAGGGTCGCTCCCCCGTGTGTACAAGGTGATGCCGTGTTAGGTTGGCCAAGGAGCCAAAGGTCTTGCCACAGTCCGTACACTGGAAGGGCCGCTCACCTGTGTGGGTGCGCATGTGGTTTCGCAAGTGCACCTGTTTCTTGAAATACTTGCTACAGACGCTGCATTTGTGCTTTCTTTCCATAGCGTGAACTACTTGTCTGTGTTGCATCATTTTCAAGTGGGTTGGGAAGTCCTTGTTGCATTGAGCACACTTAAAAGTCTGAGCCGGACTTCCTGAGCCATTACGTGGCTCCGTTGTCAAAATGTGTGCATTAAACCCATTTTCTTGGGACTGTGCCTTTTGAGCCACATTGTTTGTAGCGGTTTGTTCAGGAAGAAGCTTGGAAGCAGATACATTTGCAGGAGGCATAGCAATCAAAGTGCGGGGAGAATCAGAGCGAACTAAAGGTCTCTCTTGCATGATAGAGGGTTTGCCCTGCTTTGGGGCGAGTACACCGCTTTTACCAGAATGTGTCCTTCGGTGATACAAAAACTTAGTCATGTTACTGAAAGTTTTGCCACAGTGGCAGCGATGCAGGGGGTCCGATGTATGGCTTTTCCGGTGCAAGATCAAGGTAATCTCCGTCCCAAAGCCCAAACCACAGTCAACACAAAGGTAGAGAGCCTCCCCCCGATGTACCCTCATGTGCTTCTCCAAAGAGGTCTCCTTCTTGAACACTCTGTAGCAATTTGGGCACTGCAAGTTCCCTTCCACATGCACACGACGATGGGACTGCAATCGGTTGGCAGAAGTAAAGAAACGGTCACAGTCAGGGCATGGAAACTCCACGGTGTGCTGTTCTTTGCGATGTTTCCGAAGGTACTTTGCTGTAATGAACTCTTTCTTGCATTCTTGACAGCGGTAAACTCGTTGCACTAACCCCATGCCTTCTCCAACCATTTCTTCATTTTCATTCATCATCCAGTCTTTTCTTAATTTCTCAATAATACTGGGTGAGGGTGCAGTATTTTCTGAGTTACTGTACAAGGGAGAAGCCGAGCTTTCTTTCTCCGACTCAGTAAAGTGTCGACCCTGATGCTCAAGAAATTCCTCAGGGGTATGGAATACTTGGAGGCACTCAGAGCATTCATATGGGTGCATCTCCGAGATCTGTACCATTTCGCTCTTCACAGGTGAACTTTCAGTCGCTACTGTGGGGCCTGCTTGTGGTCCAGGCAGTACGTCACTCTCTGTGGTTTCAACCACAGCTGGAACTTCAACGCTCCAACCATTTAAAGTCCTCTCATCCAGGAGAACATTCTGCAGGCTAAGCAAGGCTTGGATACCAGTTCCAGTTTGCAGAACAACACTTTGTTGAGGTGTCTGCTCTGGTTTCTCATGCTTTTGGCGGTGAGCTACCCACAACTCAGGGGATGTAAAGAGTTCTTTACAGTCAGAGCACTGGTAGTGTATTTGGCTATTTCCCAATGATGGAGAGGAGGGGGTCTGTGGAAATTCCCGCATGTGCATCTCCTGGTGATGTAGAAGCTCATCTGGTGACAAGAGAACTTGCCCACATTCCAAACATTGGTACTGGCTTTCCTGGACCAGACCTTGCAGCTCTCCCAACTCCAGGGAAACATCCTGAGACACTGCTGCTTGCACACCTCCACCAACATGATTTTGTTGGTGAACCAAGACATCTTCCAATGTATTGTAGAGAAGACCACACTCTGAGCACATATACTGGTGCTGGAATACAACTGGAGCCTGGACACTCTCTGCCATGGCCGATGAGAGGTTACTGTCAAAAATCTGTTAAGAATAAAAAAAATAATAATAATAAAATAATCATATCAAAAGCAGTGCCATCAATAAATTAATTAGCAACGTAGCCCCAAAAAGTACAGGCATTTAACGTGAACCTGTGCATTGCTGATGCAGAGTGAGTTCACTAAACTTCAAAACTCCCACTAAAATAATCCAAACTGATTTGTGAAGCCACAGCCTTACATAAATTCCAAGTAACCTTGTGCTTTGGGTATTATATTAACAGACTAGTACGGTCTTATAAATGCTTAAACATATTTATGTCACAAGCAGACCTTTGGATGAGAGGCCAGAATCTAATGTGGATTGCTACTTTGCCAAACAGACCACACAAAACCATAAGATACATACACAAGCAGCTATTTTGTGGCACATCAATGGATTTGTCATTTATCTTTGATGCTCACCCTCAAACCTTTTTGCCCAGGTGGCACATATGTATTAAATGCACCTGTTGGATGGGGTAAGGGAAGGCTGTGCTCACTGTATAATAAATATTGGCCAGTTTTGATGCATCAATTCACAATGAGGAAAGCTTGAAGTTTATTCAATACTTATTTGTTTATATGTAAAGTATTGCGTAAATTAGCGGCGCTATATAAGTATCTGTAAGAAAAAAAAATGGCCATCAAAGAAAACCTCTCTATAGAATCGTGAAGGCAGCCATTGTAGACTGTGAACTACATCTGAAATCTTAGTAGTCTCTCTGGTTGATTCAATTGCTTCAATGCTGTTGTCAGTAGCTGGTTCTTGCAGTCTATAATCCCCCAATCTGTACTGTATTCTTCAAATGCTCCAATGGAGATTCAAGGAGGAGACGTGACATGCAGCGTCTGGTAATGGATGAATCTAGGATCCAGGGGCTTATTTTGCATGCTTTTAATGTTTGAAACCTGCCAGTATATACTCAAACCCAATAAGCCACCTCCTATTTTTTTTTTTTCTCATCTGAGGTTTCAATTGCTGCTCTTTCAGTTCAGGTCTCCAGTTTGAGGGATTTGTGAACCATGTGAATGAAAATACTGGAGTCTAGAGATTTCAAGGAATTCATTTAAAGAAGTTTCCTTACTCCAACTCATGCAACTGCAACTACTGAAATGTAAGCCCCCTTCCTAGCTAAATCTCCCCATGTCATCTTTGGCAATCTACTCAAATGCTGACCCTTGCTCTGAAATCACACCTCAGAACAAATCCCCAACAACCTTTTTCGTCTGTAACATGTATGGAAGAAAAAAAAAAAATCTAAAAGATGTAAGCGCTCCAATCTACAGGCCAAGCACATAGGCTTTGTTCCATGCCTAGCTACAACAAAAAAAAAAAAAAAAATCACAGAAGAAGAGAATTTGGTTTCTGGTCTCAGGCCTATTTTCAGAGAAGAATCTGAAGAAATTGCACGCAAATACTTCACATTCGAACTTTGGGAATGTAAAAATCCAAAGACGTTAGATGACTTTAAATACCTACAACACCAACAGGACCAGGGGAAACCTAAATACTATTGGTATAGGCAGCAGATATCTAAGGACACCATTAATGAGGGGGAGAAGCTATTAGCCATGACTGGATTTATGGCTAATAACCCAATGCCTTATCTCCACAAGATTTAAGTGTCATCAGGAACATCTACTAACACAATGCATGCATGACTACAAATCAAAGGATTCGATCTCCTAGATTGTAAGCTCTAACAAGCTGGGCCCTCTGTTTCCTCTTGTACCAAATTGTATTGTAACTGTAATGTCTACCTTCATTTTGTAAAGCGCTGCGCAAACTGTCGGCGCTATATAAATCCTGTATAATAACTGACCAACTCCTGTTATTTCATAACAAAGTATAGCTAGTATAACTAAAAGGCAAAACTTTTTTTTTTTTTTAGTCTTGGATAGAGTGTAGAGTGATTAGAACCCCTGTCAGTTTTTAATGTCTGTACCCTCGTTAGGGAGATTCCCCCTCTATGTCTGTTTACCATTATCAGTAAAAGTGAAAGTAAAAGAAAATCCCAAATTTTTCGGCTGTCACCGTAAAAGTAATAAAAAGGTGAAATCTTCCAATGGGGACACTATTTCTGGTGACCTAGGGGTCCTTGAGGAACTCTCTTAGTTTGCAGGGAGTTCCTCTCACTTCCTGTTTGGTTATGAGACAAAAAGTAAAGGGAAACCTCCCCAATGGGACACAAATGATGAAAAAAAAAAATCTGTCAGGTTATAACCCTCCCTTGCTCTATCCAAAATGAAGAAAAAAAAAAAAAAGTTTTGCCCATAGTTCTATTTTAACTACCTCAATACTGGGCACTTTCACCCCCTTCCTGCCAAGGCCAATTTTCAACTTGCAGCACTGTCACACTTTGAATGACAATTGCGTAATCATGCAAACACTGTACCCAACTTAAATTTGTATCATTTTTTCACACAAATAGATCAATCCTGATGTACTGATGGCCCATCTCATTTTTTCTTGAGGTCCAAAAATGTCCGGACAGTACAGATACCCCCCAAATTACCCCTTTCTGGAGAGTAGACAGTCTGAGGTATTTAGTAGGAAGCATGGCACATTTTTTGAAATTGCAGTTTTTTTTTTTTTATCATAACTTCTTTGAAAATTAAGAAATTAAATTTTTTTATTCCTATTTTATTTTTACCATACTGTCACCAATGTAGTACAGAGTTATATAACTGGTGCGGTGCTGATCAGGTACATCAGTATAAAAAAAAAAAAAAGTTTATATTTTTTGCAGTTTTTGTGTTTTTTTTTTTCACCCACGACTAGAGCAATACAGTGTTACCATAGTAGCACTGTACTACTCTGGGCAAGTGAACAGGATTTTTTTTCTACACATTAGGATTGCTTATACCTGTGAATTTTACTGGTATAAACCAGCCTCTCTCAACCAGGGTGCCTTGAGGTTTCTTCAGGATGCCTTGGTAAAATGTCTGCAAATTGCCCAATACTTGTATACAAGCCAGCGGGTGGAACAAGCCTACCTTTTAGTTACACAAAGCCACAGGTTTTCATTGTGCACCATTAAGACATTCTAGCCTCCGGCGTCTTGACAACCAATGATAACATCAGCTGATAAGGAGGATGTCAGCTGCCAGGACAGCATTCTAGTTTGACCCACCCCTCTCCATCAGTGTTGGGGTCACATTAGCTCAGTGATGGAGAAAAACTGAGGGAGAAGAGAAACACTGGAGTACTAGTGAGTACCAGTGTGCAAAAGTGTATTTGCTGTGGAAGAATAAATCACCTGTAATGTTGGGTGTCCTACATGTGTGGATGTTGCTGCGTTATATAAAACTATTAGTTTTTCACATTTTAGAATGGGGCGCCCTTTTAAAATTATAAACAGTCTTGAGGCACCCTATTTTAGAATGGGGTGCCTCGGGGCTGTCCATAATTTTAAAGGGTGCCTTGACTGAAAAAAGATTGAGAAAAACACTGGTATAAACAACCAATTTTACTTAATGAAACTGATTTACTCAGTGAGTATTGTTGCGATTAGCCACAACTAATGGTACAGATGGGCTGTGATTGGCCCTGTCTGTATCCATGGGATCACTGTGACCAATCCCATGGTACAGATGGGCTGTGATTGGCCCTGTCGGAATCCCTGTGACCAATCCCATGGTACAGATGGGCTGTGATTGGGCCTGCCTGTATCCACGTGATCAATCCCATGGTACAGATGGGCTGTGATTGGCCCTGCCTGTATCCACGTGATCAATCCCATGGTACAGATGTGTTGCGATTGGCCTTGCCTGTATCCACGTGATCAATCCCATGGTACAGATGTGTTGCGATTGGCCCTGTCTGTATCCACGTGATCAATCCCATGTACAGATGTGTTGATTGGCCCTGTCTGTATCCACGTGATCAATCCCATGATACAGATGTGTTGCGATTGGCCTTGTCTGTATCCACGTGATCAATCCCATGGTACAGATGTGTTGTGATTGGCCCTGTCTGTATCCACGTGATCAATCCCATGGTACAGATGTGCTGTGATTGGCCCTGTCTGTATCCATGTGATCATTGTGACCAATCACAGCTAGCAACACAATTTGTAAGCAAAGAATGGCATGAAAAGAAGCCATTCATTATTTACATGTGTCACGTGATCTGCTGTGATTGGTCCCAATCACATGGTACCGGCAGTGGACTGGTGATCAGTCACACAGCCGGTAACAGATCGTGACGCAGTGCAGCCCCACGCAAGGTTCATTTTGGAAGGACCTTATAGAACGACCACCCCGGAATGACAAAAGTTCCACCCGGCCAGGAACTGGTTAATATGCAATTTCTTGCATTAAGCCTCATAATGATAACGGTGCCCAGGGGGCCCATTTGTTGATAACTATACTTCCTGTAACAAAACGGAGCCCAATGAGTTATGTATGCGATTCCACAAACCCAGCAATGCATTGCACATTACCAGATGTTAAACCAATACATCCTCCACGCTCGATGCGATTTGCCAGCACATGACATGCTTGCTTTCTGCTAGATTTGTATTTCTGCATTACCACATAGAGACTGGTCCCTGGAACCCAGATGCCCAGTGTTCTGAATTCTGCATACAAATGATAAAAAGGTCACGTGAGTACAACCCTGGAACCTCCACCTTCCAAAACAGGTCAGAAGCGGCCGTTCCATTGACAGGGCCCTTCTCCTACCTACTCAGCGTTAAACGAGTAGAACACTACGGCAACCAGGACCACAGAGGTCCCGGGTCATGAACACACAGCGCCCCCCGCCTTCTCTATGGGCAACCTCAGTCCACTATAGAAACACAACCTCCTCCCCCAGTGTCCCCGGGCCCCGGTCCCCTCACCAGTACTCACACAGCGGCCCTCAGCTTACACCTTCTCAGCCGCGCTCACTCCGAGAACCCACCAACATCCCCTCTCCTGACTGGC